TAAAAACAAATTCTCCCTGTGTAGAGACATTCAGTTTCACTGCACAGTGTATTAATGCGCCAAAAGATTACCGAAAACTCGTTGAAAGCTGCTACCAAAAATGCCATAAGCAACTGGCATTGGACAACAAAGCTAATATTTTATTTCAATTAAATAACCAGTGGCATAGGAAAAACTGAACAAAACAAAAAGCCCCAGAATAACCCCACCCGCATGTAAACCACCAGTATTACAATACAGTATGTTCAGTGAACTGAATTATTGTGTAAGAAATCGTAACCTCCTCCTTCTAGAAAAGGCAGATGATTTTACACATGGAATTAATCTGGTCCAAAGAAACACTTCAAATTCTAAAGCTGACATAAAAAAGCTATTTTATATATAGTGGAGATACAGTAAAACACAGCTTTTACATAAAGTACAGAAACAACACCCAACAGTCATTTAAGTCTTCTGTTAAAAACCTAAGTACAAACTCAACTGTATTATATACTCAACTGAGAATTATATACTACAGTCATGAATAGTAAAAATAAATTCCTTGTGATATAATTTGAAATTGTAAAGTAAGTGATGTGAAATAAATTGGACTAATCCAGCTACACACTTCTTGCAAACTGCATGACAGGGTATGAAAATTCATTTTCCTCTCCAAGTAAAATTAGTTTATCATGTATTGTTCTACTTGATAAATCCATCCAGGTACTAACTTACAGGTGACACAGTAAGAAGCTGCATTTTGTATTCAAAACTTTTGATTCTTTCTTCATACTGTATAACTTTATTATGAAAATACAAGCTATAAGTAGAATATATAGGTTATAGGCTCTGAAAGGGTATATTGCATTAAAATACAAAAACTCCTTCAATTTGTTTCTAATCTCATCCCCTGCAAGTCCTTCCAACTGTTTTCACCTAATGGCATTGCAATTTTCATTTATTTAAAGTTTGGTTTTTTTTGTTTTTTTTTTTTTTTTAACTTACTATGTACAAACTAAAAGATGCAAAGTATTTTTAATCACTCTCTGGGAATGTAAAAAGCAATTCTTCTGCTTTGCAACTCACCCATTAGATGTGAAAATCAGATAATTATTACCAATTTCTACCATTGGCACTCTATCCAAACAAAAACACATACCTCTGTCCTCACAATGATTTTGCTGAGTGCATAGACAGCTCGGTTAAGTTGGTGAAACTGGTCACAAATAACCCCTGTAAATATTCTGTGGACACACCATGCATCTTGTTGTCAATTTAACTTACAGGACCATATTTGTTTCAAGTCAAATCTTAAAATATTTTCTTAAACTGTTCTATTTTCTGCAAGTTCTATAAAATATCTAATTTATTTGCCAAAGGATTATTAACCTGGTTATCACACACTGACCCTAAGTGCAGCAGAATTCAGAGACAGATCATTCACAGATATACTGGTTCCACTGCCCTACTTAGCACAGCAAGGTTTGTGATGACTCGAGGCAAAACCACTAATTTAGTAAAAAGGAAGCATTAGATGGCTTGAGCAAGATCTAATATCATCTAAAGAACTGTAATTTTCTGCCTAAAACAATAGACCCAAACAGCATCCTTTGGAAGCACTTGTGCACATGAGTAACATTCATTTCAATTGCCATATAAATCCTGACTGTCTAGAACTGTATTTCCTAGTGAAAAAGCAGGCAAGTTAAAAGAAAGCTTTTAGTTTTTAGCTATATCAAGGCTCTGAAATAAAAATAACATTCCCTAAACTATTTGCTGCTACTTCTTCCCACTTGTGAAATACTTCGACATTTAAGACAGGACTTGAACAGCATTAGTTCACTTTACCTTTGTATAAAGCAAATTCTTTCAAAATTCAATTTAGCCAGAGCAACAAGTCACAAGAAAACTATGTCAGTAAGTGCTATGAAAATTGTTTATTAAAAGGCATAAAATATTTTTTCACATCCTTTTCAGGAAGGTTCTAAATTATTTTTTCACTTAATGAAAAACTTAATGAGTGAATAACTATTTCCTAATATAATTTGAAAAAATAAAGCCTCCACCTTAAGTGTTAAAACAAGGTAGAAAACTGAAAAGCTGCCAACCCAGTCAAACTGTGTGCAAGTCATCCCTGTATCCCACCTGAACGGAACGGTTCTTCATGAGTACAGAAATCCTACTGTAGAAGTAAAGTGAAAAACAGGATCCAAAGTTTATACAAAATAATATGCTTGCAGTAACAGTCCTTTAAGTTTTAGGAAGCTTTCACCATTTGGTATGTTCCTCTGCTTGGAGCACACATATGCAGTAACAATTCCTTGGAAAGTAACAACTTTTTAAGGTTAGAATCAGTAGGACTTCTAAAAAAGTGAAAAACAGAAAAACACCTAGTCATGTCCAGTACAAGGGTAAATACTAAACAAGCTTTAGCCCTTCCCAAAGAGCAGTATTTAAGGAGGCCATTCACAAAGGGCTTCCCTCAGAACCACTCTATTTCAGGTAAGAACTCTACAGGATAAATGAAGCATAAATGAAGGACTTGGGATTCATGTGTATATCTGATACACTGGAGAAAAAGAAAAAATTTAACTCATTTTCTACACGTTTGTAGCTAAAACCTGCAATACATTAATTTTACTTGCTCTCAGTAAAGACATAAGAAATTGAAGATGAAAAAAGAGCAATAACTTATACTGCAGTAAAACTGCATCTTGTTAAGACAATTCTACTATAAAAAAAAAGGCATAAAGACTGCCATTTTTACAAAAAGATTGTGTATGCTACATTTTAGTCTTCTTATTACCAGCTAGATTTTCTGAATATAAAAGTGATTTCCCCGAAGTTTCTTCTACCTTTATTTTTTCCCCACATTTACCTAGGCCATTTCAATATAAATGTGAAGACAGATTCAAAGTGTTTCAAGATCTAGAATAATGGAAGATTTTCCCCACAGGTGTTCATAAAACTGGATCCAGGTTTCGAATATTAGTCTTTATTAGCTTACTCAGAAAAAATTCTGAGCAACTTTATTTTTGTCAATACTAAGTGTTATCCAAATAACAACACAGTCAATATATTTATTGTGTTCTCATATACAGAACAACATCTTCAGTAGAATTCCAGTTTAAAGACTATTTGAAAACATGGTTATTTTCAATTGGAAAAGGTTTTAAAAGCTGCAAAAACTGGTTGGAAACGAAAAGAATACAACCACCTTTGCAACCTTTTTCATCTACTGTGAACCAAATGAGATATCAAAAGGAACACATAATACAGAATACACATTTAGCTATACATGAGTGATCAAAGGTGTACAGACAATGTCAATATCACCACCATATATTTATTTTTATCAACTTTAAAAATATATATATTACAATAGCATAGAATGGTTTTAAGAGTTCATAAACAAACTCAGGAAGTCGTAATGGTCAATAGTGAAGCTACAGGGGAAAAGTATCCCTTAACAAAAATTTGAAAATAAAACTTTAAAAAGCTTTTGCAAAAAATCACTCTTCCATTTCTCGTTGAACGACATCACTCTTGTGCCAACTACAGCAGCTTCTATGCCCCATTTTGGCCACTTCTCCCACAAGCTTTCATGGTTTCTCATTTGTCATTCCTGGTGCCTGGAACACCCACCTTCCTTCTCTTGAAGTCCCATTCTAAGATCCACTTCTGCAACATTGCCTACAGAAAGAGTAGGCAACTAAAACACTCATTCACTGTGTCAACAATGTGCCAAGAAATCAGCTTTCACTGTGTACACTGTACAGCATAGTACTAATTTCACTTTACCTTTATTACTATATCATAATTATTTCTTTCCAACAGTGCATCAAATCTAAAAGTGGGGATTTAATATCTAGGAATAACTTTGAAGAAATAGTGTCTGTTTTTGAGAGTGTTAGCTGCAGTTCTCAGTGCTCACAGATAGGAAAGTATGTTCAACTTTGTAAATATTCCATTATGCTTGTGTGTATCTGCGGTACCTATACGTATGTACATAAACAAAAAAAAGAGTAGCCTATTTCATTTTCTTTACACTGTAGTACATTTTAATCCTTTGCTGGGTCACCTGAAATTTCTCTTTAAAATACCTTATGAAACTGAAACGGAAAGCTGCATTTAAGCTTTTTGTTTTGTTCTAAAAAGCCTTCTACTTTAAACCTATTTCCTTCTGTCTTTGAAAATCTGGATTAAAATTCAACTAAGTAAGAGTCTATAGGAAAAGTTTATGTTTGCACAGGTCAACGTCTATCAAGACTACGCTCACATCTGCTATTAAACAACTGTATCTCTGGACAGTCATGGAGGCAGACATGAAGCAATGACACCTTCTGAAAGTCTGAAAGGACTTTTTTTCTTTTTTTAATTAAGAAGAAAATCTAGCATGTATATTGCTTACACATACTAAATGCAAGCCTGTCATGAGAAGGAATTACTGGCCTTCAGGTGACATGAACCTCAAGTCATGCTTTCAGTTTTCCATATATTTCTGCATGCCACTCCATATAAAAGTGGAATACTTTACTGATTATTTATTTCAAAAATAAGCAGAGCTTCAGTAATGCCAATGGAGTTCTAACATACAATAATGCAATATCAAGGGCAAAAATGCTTAAGAATGGTTGTTTTTGTAACTTTGTATCATTACAAATGGCAAGTAGAAAACTTGAGCAGACAAACAAGCTGCACAAGGCATTTTCGTAAAAGAAAAAAGGGTGAAGATGTAAAATGCAAAACCACAACAAAACCACTCTAGACACAACACAAACACAAGATATAATCAATAACCCAATTTAAGTACCAAAAATAATTCTTAAAGATGAAAATATAAATCCCTGGCAAGCATATGGCTGAAACTTATACATATAAACTCACTAAAACTAGAGCACTTGCCACTGAAAACAGTCATTCACAGCTTAAAGCTAAATGAAGCCCTTCCTTATATATATTTCACATACTTGTGGCCACCTTGCTATTGAAAGGGGAAAAAATAAGCTTATTCAACTTACATCTTTTTCTGACCGATGTGGGAACATCGATGATTGGCTGTAGTACATGTTTTCATCATGGTAGTCACCATCAACCCCCTCTACAAACTTCTTCCTTGAAGCACCAAACATGCTGTTTGTCACCTAAATAAGAAGAAAAAATATTATATACCATATATGATTTGATTTGCTACATACTTAAAAGGAATAACAACAACAAATCTGTAGAATCACTTCCATGTCTTACCACCACAACTTTGGAAAAGCAGTTTTCTACTTGACCCTGTACACTCAGAGCCACGATTAAGTAAGAGAAGGTCGAGCTTAACCACACTCAACAACCTCATCACAGACTGGCAAAGTTATTGCAGACAGCCCATAAAAAAAAAAAAATCACTAGATTTTATTTTGCCCTTACTCCCAGAGGCATGCACACACAGACAGAGCTGCTAAGTCAGGAACTGGAAACTGAAGAAACAGCAACCACACAGCTGGTCACAGAGCCTTAATTCATTAGAAAATTTAATCCCGTAGCAAGGTCATACAACATCGCTCAAGCACCTACCACATGCAGTGCATATTTATACACCTGACTCTCTTATTTATGTAAAAATACGCACACCTCTCAAGTTCCTCATCTATCTGGCTACAAAACACTATCACAGTGCAGCGTGGGCTAACCAAGCCCTATTTTAACCTAACAGGTTAATGTTCAAACCAGCAAAACAGCACATACTGGTCAGCACTGAGCAACTTGCCCAGTTTCATGTCACATAAGGGGAGACTGAAGAGAGAACAAGCAACAGGACGGTATTCAACTCTGAGCTACCGCCCTACATAACACATCTTCAAACAGATCTTTAACATCTTGAAAGGCAAGGAAGCTAAATTACAGTTAGCTTATGAAATAAGGTCTGAGCCCTAAGATTTACTATCTTAATTCTTGACAGCATTAGCTAAACTTAAAAAAAAAAAAAAATCAGACAACTGAGAAAAAAAAATTTAGAGTAACTTTGCACTACCTTAGGCTCATGCTTGAAATCAAAATTTCAAAACATTTATTCTGATTGGCTGTCAGGAGAGTAACTTTCAGTTTGTCCCTCCTGATACAAAATTACTTTGACATTCCTCACAGTGTGGCTTATTCAAATCTCACCTTTACTGACAAAGATAAGTAGGCAGTGTTTAATAAAATGGGTGCTCCTGTACTAGTAACAACTTAACCCCATGATTTCAAAGTCATAGGAGTTTTGAGTAAAAGTAATCTGTTACACACATGCAAAGGCATGTAAAGGTACTATGGACCTTCTCCAGATGAAACTTGTATTTTATGATACCTACAAAAACATGCAAATGTAAGGTCCCAAACCGTTCGAATGCATCCAGCTGACTTTCACACTGTAGTGAAGCTTTCATTACACTGTAAGTATATCTTGCTGTGCTAATCCCCTTACAATGCAATTATCACCTACCAGATGGGATGGAGCATTTAACAGGCTAAGGGGATTATCTCGTCCTTTGCTCTGCCGAGTAAAGTGCAGAGAGATGAGCAGTTGCCTTTAACCAGTGTAAAAAGGATAGCGAAAAGCTTTGCTGAAGCTATCCTAAGCAATGAGGAGAAGCTGAGTGTCTCAACCAACTACTGCTCTTGAGAAGATAAAAGGCAGCTTCTCACAATTCCCAAAGAATTTTTTGATGTTCCTTTAACAATACCTGGGAAATTTTTTTTTTTGCCACATAACCTTCTCTTGTGAAACATCATCAGAATAACAATATTTAATTGTGATAGAAACAAGTCACTGATGCATATACCATACTGTACTAATGTAGTACCTAACCCTGAGCTACGGTACAGGAACTACATAAGGGGAAAAAACAATTCTGTCTTTGACCACGTAGCTTTTGATCTTATTTCTGCAAAGGTTTACACATGGCTGGCTCCACATGCACCATAAAGATTTCTGAGTCAGTAGGGTAATAAGGTCAGAGCTTTCAGTCTCAAAATATATGTTTAAAGCTGCTGCAAGAAAGCTACTATGTCTAAATTTTAAACATTCTCCACTAAATTTAAATTGTATAAAAGATTATTTTCTATATTGATAATTGTGTAAAACAGAGGCCCAAAAACTAATCAAGATTATGCCCTGGAGACTGATGAAATGCACTGATATTAATACAGTCTTACAAGAGCACAGTTAAAAAAGAAATTAAGCAAACTTTTAATAATTAGACAGATTAAATATTGCTATTTCTATTGGCAACCCATATTTCTACACAATACCTAACAGGACTGTGCTGACGAACTCCAGAGAGCAGAGCAGTGCACTGCAGGCTGCAGCTGCGGGGGAAGAGGGGAAGGCCAGGGGAGCCCTGCCTGCAGCCCAGCTGCATCGCTGCGCCTGACTGCTCTGAAGACCTTCACAAACTTTTTGCAGAGACTGATGCTTCTTCACAGCAGCATTTGTGTAAGTGATTCTGTGTCGTTCAATGCTGCCAAGGGAAGCAGTGGCGTGCAGTGCTCAAGCTGTCCACGCTCCCACCGAGGGAAGCGGCACGGGCGCTGTAGGGCATTCTGGCAGCTGCCTGCACCCCTAACAGGATTCCACTTCACCAGAAAGAACTGCCACCACTTCTGCTCAGGGTGAGCCACAGCACAGATCACAACAGAGAAAAGCGGCGTTGCCATTCACGCTGCTACTGAACAGCACAATAAAATAGGCAGCCGCTAAAAACCAGTAACTGAAAGGGCAGAAACTGGGATTAGAGACCAAAGCTGGAGTTGCTTTAGCCAGGCTGCTTAGTTCTTGCATGTTCTTAGGCTAACACCACCAGCCAATATTCCTGCTTCCCAGTAGTCACTGGAGACAGTAAACACCTGTCAAACTTTTGATTCAGAGCACCTATCCTGCGCAGACTTTTATAATTTTACAGCATGTTTATGCAATAACAGTGTCAGATGGTTGCCAAGTTAGCAGGAGGCAACTTCCTAGCCATGTTAACTTATTTATTTCAGTATTCACTAACATATTAGTAAGTCAGTCATGCTACAAGCATATGCACAGATATTAAAGAAACACTGCTGCAGTACTATTTGCAAGATGAGAGAAAATCTGGGGCTGTGCCAAACACAGGCAGATCTGCAGATGGAACTTGGTTGCTTATTTCTTAGGACAAGAAGCCACCAGGAAACCTCGCACACAAAGACTGCAGCTCCTTTTTCATAGACTGATCAATCAGCATCCAATCACCTACAAAAGTGAATACAGCAAAGTTCATACAGCTCTTAAAAATACATTTTAAACCCTTTGGAAAGCGACAGTGACCTGAGGTTTTGTACCTCCACAGGGTCTAGACTGATGAGTTGCAAGGTAGAAATCAGCTCTTGTATTTAAGTCCCCCACTCATACATATACACCTATACACTAGTACTATTAATGTAATAATACTACTATTAATAATAGTACTATTACTGGAATACCAGTAGTATTCCAGTACTACTCAATATATTCATCAACAAACTGGATGAGGGAACAGAGTGCACAGTCAGCAAGTTTGCTGATGATACCAAGCTGGGAGGAGTGGCTGACATGCCAGAAGGCTGTGCTGCCATCCAGCGAGACCTGGACAGGCTGGAGAAATGGGCAGGGAAAAACTTAATGAAATATAAGGGCAAGTGTAGGGTGTTGCATCTGGGCAGGAACAACCCCAGGTTCCAGTATAGGCTGGGGACAGACTTGTTGGAGAGCAGTGAAGGGGAAAGGGATCTGGGAGTCCTGGTGGACAGCAGGATGACCATGAGCCAGCACTGTGCCCTCGTGGCCAGGAAGGCCAATGGCATCCTGGGGTGCATTAGAAGGGGTGTGGTTAGTAGGTCCAGAGAGGTTCTCTTCCCCCTCTACTCTGCCCTGGTGAGGCCACATCTGGAATATTGTGTCCATTTCTGGGCCCCACAGTTCAAGAAGGACAGGGAACTGCTTGAGAGAGTCCAGCACAGAGCCACCAAGGTGATTAAGGGAGTGGAGCATCTCCCTTATGAGGAAAGGCTGAGGGAGCTGGGTCTCTTTAGCTTGGAGAAGAAGAGACTGAGGGGTGACCTCATTAATGTTTATAAATATATAAAGGGTGAATGTCAGGAGGATGGAGCCAGGGTCTTCTCAGTGATGTCCAACAGGAGGACCAGGGGCAGTGGGAGCAAGCTGGAGCATAGGAGGTTCCATGTAAACATAAGGAAAAACTTTTTCACTGTGAGAGTGACAGGCCACTGGCACAGGCTGCCCAGAGAGGCTGGGGGGGTTCCTTCTCTGGAGACATTCACAACCCGCCCGGATGCCTTCCTGTGTGACCTGCTGTAGGTGATCCTGCTCTGGCAGGGGGGTTGGACTAGATGATCTTTCGAGGTCCCTCCCAATCCCTAACATTCTGTGATACACACACACTTATGCCAATACAATCTCACAGAAGCAGTACTCCAGTTGCATGGCAATTTTATTAAGTAAAGAATTCCTGTCTACTCAGCCTATTTTCATACAAATCCCTTGTCTAATCCTGTAACTACTTTTCCTGTTCTAGTGTGGGAACTCAGTCCTCTTGCACAAGATACACTGGCAATGTAACCATTCATTAAAATGTAAAAATGGTGCCCTTCTGTCAATTCATCCTTTAGCATAATATTGCTTAAGTACTTACAACTCCCACTGGTAGACCCATGCACAAGTACTACTAGAAAATATCCGTGATAACAGAGGAAAGAAAGGGAAGAAGCTACATGCTAGGATGGAGTTCAGAGAACTTACCAGCGATGCTGCCACAAACCATGCCCAATTCCAATCAGACGAACGCGAGAGCTTCTTTTAAAGCACAAGCACATCATGTTTAAAAATCAGATTCGCCCACAACTTCAAGCTATCATTAACCAAGCAAAATGCAGTCTCTAACCTGCTCTAAATACTTCTGTGGAACATTTCCTAACAACCACCACTACGGGGGAACTAAATGCACCGTACAAATGTTAAGAACTTGAAGCAGTTTGCTGCAGTTATCGACCTTTATCCTTCAGTTGAGCACATAACATATGACAATCAACAATACATATTTAAAAAAATAAAAATAACCAAATACAAACCAGATTTCAAGAAAAATCCTTC